TCAAAAAAGCCTATGAAAAAGGTACCAAGGGTATCTCATGGGGCCCCCTACTGACCTCGGGCCCTCGGGCAGTGCCCGAGTTTCCAAATGGTTAGTCTGCCCCTGCCTGGGTCCCACTGGTTTCTCCCAGTTTTGTGCTAATTGCGCTACTGGACATCTTCAGATGTTGAAGGGAAGTAAGTATGATGTGTCTTTCATCAGCTACATTAAGTTTCCTTGGTCTTGATCACTTTTTAGAGGGTGTTTGACAGGCAGTGAGGAGGCAAGAAAAGCCCTAAAATTCCACACCACTATGCCCCAGTTGTGGTTGTGGAGCTTTTGTGGTGAGGACCCATTCACTTAGTTCTTCCTGCTGAACATGCTTTGCAGCAGCATTTGTATATCCCCATATGTCTGTCTTTTCAGGGGACAACAAAAATGAAGTTCAACCACCTATCTTTACTGCCCCCAAGTGTAAATTAGGCATAAGATCCACACTAAAAACAAAACGTCAGGCTTTGGGGGTTAAAATCCTACGTATCACCTTTTTTGCTTATTTCTGATTAAAGGCACCAACAGATGTTCAATTATTTTTTAAATGTTTGACTTTATTAAGAGAATTTATTAAGAATTTATTATTGTGAATTTATTAAGAGAAAATAAGCCATTCTCTTTTCAATGAAACGTTCCCCTTAGCTTAGTAAATGAGATTCTTGCAAAGTGAATTTTCATCCTTGCAAAGGGAATTCCCATAGCATTCATTAAACTAAGGGAACATTTCCTGTCCAATATTATCTAAATATATATATATGTATATATACATACATGAGGTGTGTCCAGGAAGTAATAAGAATGATATTTTAAAAATTATTTTATTGAAAGATTTTACAATTGAACATTATCTCCTTCAAAGTATGCCACGTGTGAATGTACACAACGCTCCCAGTGAGTTTTCCATTCTTCATGGCATCCCTGGAAGTGTTCAAGTGAGATTGCATTCAGAGCCCGCGTAGTAGCTCTTTGAACGTTGTCAACACTACCAAAGTGGTGTCCTTTCAAACCCTTCCCCATCTTTGGGAATATGAAAAAGTTGAAAGGAGTCAAGTTGGGGGTGTAGAGTGGGGAAGCACCATGATGTGTTTTTCTGCCCAAAACTCTCTGAAAGCCAAAGCACTGTGACTCTGTGCATTGTCATGATGAATGATCCAAGTTGAGCCAATCTCAGAACGCACACAAAAAATTATTTGTCTCCAGTGACCAAGAACATCCAGGTAAATTCTTTGATTCACAGTTTGACCAGTAGGTACAAATTCCTTATGGACAATTCCAAGTGAATAAACAAAAAACAAACAATAACCATTGATTTGGCTTTTGATTTGCTCATTCGAACTTTCCTGGGGCGAGGTGAAGTGAGTGTGTCCCATTCTGAACATTGTTTCCTCATCTCGGGATCATACTCTAAAAACCAAGGATTCATCTCCCGTGATTATTTAACTCAGGCTCACTTTCCAAATGGGCCAACAGGTTGTGGCAAACAAGTTGACAGTGTTCCTTCTGATCAAGTGAGAAGTGCTTTGGAACAAGTTTTGCGTGCACTTTTCTCATGTTCAAAACCTGAGTTACAATTTCATGAACAATTGACTTGGTAATTCCTGTTTCCTCTGCAATCATTCTGTTATTGAGCCATCAGTCATGGTTGAGAGCAGACCACACTGCATCCACATTCTGTTCCATTTTTGATGAAGAGGGGTGTCCTGTTCCTTGTTTGTATTCAACACCTCATCCTTGTGTAGATAATAGCACAGCCTCTCCATAAGCTTTCCTCACCATTTCCAAAGTTTCTGATGCACTTTTGCCCAATTTCTTAATAGAAAGTACTTGAACAGGGTGTCACAATAAAATGTTTCAACTCTGACATGACTGGAATGCAACTGATCAGCGTTCTAACGTATACCCCAAGTGGCCAGCTTCTCCCTTCACAGAGCCCTTCTCGAGTGTAGGAACTTCATTCTCATATTCTGGACACACCTTTTGGATGAATTAGAGCGGAGACTGCAAACCAGGCCTTTTCATCCAACATCAGTGCCTGACCTCACAAATGAGCTTCTGGAAGAATGGTCAAACATTCCCATAGACACACTCCTAAACCTTGAGGACAGCCTTCCCAGAAGAGTTGAAGCTGTTATAGCTGCAAAGGTTGGACCAACTCAATATTGAACCCTATGGACTAATACTGGAATGCCATTAAAGTTCATGTGAGTGTAAAGGCAGGCCGACCAATACTGTTGGCAATATAGTGTATATTATATACAGTGTTTAGCATAAATGAGTACACCCCAACAGATATACTTTCCTTTCAGAATCAATATTTTCTATGGGATACTACTACATAATACTCCCACAAATGTGGGCCATTGGCTGCAAACAAGATTTGTTAATTCGCACACATTTTTTTTCCTAACAAATTAATTCAAGACTATGTTGCAAAAATGAATACACCCCAGTGAAAGTCTTAGGAGCAAAGCTAAATTTTAGACAACAAAATCATAATTAACAAGAATTCAACTACAGGTGAGTCTAATTATTTATTAAACAGGTATCCAGCAGACAGTTGATTATAAAAGGGTGTTACTTAACAAAGATAACCCCTCCCATTTCATGCTGTCAGCAATGGCACCACATGGAAGAGAAATGTCAAACGGCCTGAGAAAGAAAATAATTTATTTACACAAGAAAGGTGAAGGCTACAAGGAGATCAGCAAGGATTCACATATCGGAATACTGTAGCAAAAGTGATACAACAATTTAACAAAGATGGAACTGCAACCATCTCACAGTGACGTCCAGGCCATCCAAGGAAGTCAACAGCTTGACAGGAGCATCTTCTGATGAGAAGAGTTGAATAAAATCACCATGCAAGTTCACTGCAGTTAGCTAAAGATATAGAAAGCCAAACTGGGGTGATTGTTTCTTGTGACACAATATGGCATACACTGCAGAGGAATGGCATACATGGGTGTCGTCCATGAAGGAAGCCTCCCCTAAAGCCCATGAACAAAAAAGCCCACCTATAATTTGCCAGGGCCTATGCTGAAAAAGAAGAAGACTACTGGAACTCTGTACTCTGGAGTGATGAGACCAAGATAAATGGTTTGGAACTGATGGCTTCAAAACTGTATGGCGTCGTAAAGGTGAGGAGTACAAAGAAAAATGCATGGTGCCTACAGTGAAACATGGTGGTGGCAGTGTCCTTCTGTGGGGTTGCATGAGTGCTGCTGGTGTCAGGGAGCTGCATTTTATTGATGGTATCATGAATTCACAGATGTACTGCTCTATATTGAAAGAGAAGATGCTACCATCACTCTTGTCCTTGCCCTTGGCCGTCGTGCACTTTTTCAACATGAAAATGATCCAAAACACACATCTAAGGCCACTGTTGAATTTCTGTAAAAGAACAGAGTGAAAGTGATTCAGTGGCTAAGTACGTCTCCTCATCAGAACCCAATTGAACACCTATAGGGAATTCTGAAGAGACATCACTCTCCATCCAGCATCCAGGCTCTAAAAGAGGTCATTCTTGAAGAATGGAAAAAAAGATCGATGTTGCAATATGTCACCAACTTGTTCATTCAATGCCTAGAAGACATTGTGCTGTCCTTACAAATCATGGAGGTCAAACAAAATATTAGATGTAGTAGTTTTGTTGTAGGGTGTATTGATTTTTGCATCAACTAATTTCAGTAAAACCGAAGATTTTGTAATCTAAGTTATATTGATAACCCTACTTTCATGTAAGGAGCTAAACAAATGTTCTATAAAACTCAGTTTTGTCAAAATTATGAAAATTGTTCTTGTGTTCATTGAGATATTGATTAAAATTGTACTTTTCAAAAGGGGTGTACTCATTTATGCTGCACACTGTATATATACACTGCTCAGAAAAAACACCCCCTTAGCATTTCTGGCTGTGGATATCTTGAATCTCCAGATGATTCATGAAGCATTTACGTCCTGGAATTCATATGCCCTTAGCTCAGGCATGCAGACAGCAGGGCACTTGCCTGAGAAAACTCTTCCTCCCCAATTGGGATACATGACCTCGTTTTCCTAGGCCTGAAAACCAGGAAGTAACTGAAGATATATACTGTATGTATACATATGTATGTATGTATATATATATATATATATATATATATATACTGCTCAAAAGATTTAAAGGAACACTTTGAAAACACATCATATCTCAATGGGGAAAATCTCCTGCTGGATATCTATACTGATATGGACGGGGTAATGTGTTAGGAACGTAAGGATGCCCTGTCATTTGATGGAAATGAAAATTATCAACCTACAGAGGACTGAATTGAAAGCCACCCCAAAAATCAAAGTGAAAAAATGATGCAGCAGGCTAGTCCATTTTGCTGAAATTTCATTGCAGCAACTCAAAATGGTCCTCAGTAGTAGTTAGTATGGCCCCCACGTGCTTGTATACATTCCTGACAATGTCAGGGCGTGCTCCTAATATAGGGCAGTCTATAAATATATATATATATATATATATATATATATATATATATATATACAGTTGCAAGAAAAAGTATGTGAACCCCTTGGGATTACGTGGAGTTTTGCATGAATTGGGCATAAAATGTGCTCTGAACGTCATCTAAGTCACAACAATAGAAGAACACAGTCTGCTGAACATAATACTATACAAACATTAGATGTTGCCATGGTTTAATTGCACATAACATGTAAAGATTCACAGTGCAGGGAGGAAAAAGTATGTGAGGCCCTAGCTTAATGACTTCTCCCAGAGCTAATTGGAGCCAGGAGTGAGCCAACCTTGACTCCAATCGGTGTGATGATATTGGATGTGTTGCTGACAGCTGTCCTGCCCTTAAAACACACACACCTGTTTTGGGTTTACTGGTTTCAAGAAGCACTGTCTGATGTGAACCATGCCTCGCAGAAAAGAGCTCTCAGAAGACCTACGATCAAGAATTGTTGACCGAAAAAATGATATCCCAGAGCAGGGGCGGACTGACAACTCATGGGGCCCCCGGGCAATAGGGGATCATGGGGCCCCTGTGTCCTTGCCCAAACTCAAAAAAGCCTATGAAAAAGGTACCAGGGGTATCTCATGGGGCCCCCTACTGACCCCGGGCCCTCGGGCAGTGCCCGAGTTTCCAAATGGTCAGTCCGCCCCTGTCCCAAAGATGTTCTATTGGATTTAGGTCAGGCGAGTATGGGAGCCTTTCAATGGTATCAATTCCTTCATCCTACAGGAACTGCCTGCACTGCATACTCTCTCTCTCTCTCTCTCTCTCTCTCTCTCTCTCTCTCTCTCTATATATGTATATTACATATACTTTAGCATATACTGTTTATAAATATATATATATAATGAATTGGTGCAGATTATTTGCACATTTTATATGATACATGCATTAATGGAGTTAGGAAAGTAGGGGAAAGGTTGGTGTTGCAAGGTATTAAATCCTTCCCCATCTGAAAATCAATTTCTATCTTTTCTGTAAACCTAGCTGCCTTCTATTTAGTGTTGTGTTGATTTTCGTATTGCTATATGGTTGCCTTCTGCAGCCCTGGGGTAGATAAATGGCATATCTTGTGTGATGAAAGGGAATCTGACAATGAATACAATAATCATGCTGGCGGCATCACCAATGAAAACTGTATTGTGTTTCAGTGTTGACGATAACACATAATTCATGATATTCCATAACAATCTCCATAAGTGTTAACAGGCAGTTAAGTGGCAAATAATGCATTCAATTTGTATTTGTGTTTTGCTTCAGCTGTATACCACAGTTGACAGACATAATAGGCTGGCGCGTTTGCCGTAGTTCAACCTTAAATCCTTTTAAAATTCAGAACCTGCGCCAAATGGCAGCTTTTTTCGTCTTTGATGGAAAGAAAAAGTTTCCAGAAGTGCAAGTTCTCTGTACCCAATTTAGTTTCACAAAAGTTTTGAACTGCTTGCTGCGATCCAGAGGTCACTGAGAATTATCATCTTTCTGTAGATGGCTAACAGCCAGTCGTATTTAGTTGCTACACTTTGTAGTGCCGGCAAGCCAGGAGAGAATTTGTCTCAGATTTTCGTCATCTATTTGTGACAGTGCACGATGGCGCACGCTGTGCCAGCTGGCCCGATTCCTTCTGTGACTCCATTTTTTGTCATCTGCTCATTTTATAATTTCATCAATTAGACTTTGCGGGTGAACAAGGTTGCATTCCTAAGCAGACACCACTGAAAACCACTATTTAATTACTGGGTTTGCTAAGACACAGGAGCAGATGCCTAAGTGGTTATTTTTAGAACACGGGATAAACTGACTTTGTCACCAATCTTCCACTTTTGTTTTTATTAACTTGTAATTACATTACTTAAAAAGGTTGTAAACCCTTACCGTGCAGTGATACACATAGATGGATCAAATACTCCTACATGAGTTGTACCAGTTTATCTGTTGTTTCTCTTATCTACATCATTTCAAAGTTCAGAATTTATACAGCTTGTCTGAGCTTTCAGAAAACAGGGGGTGGAGAGCTGATGTGAAACACTGCAATTAAGTAATTATATTACTTAAAAAGGTTGTAAACCCTTAACATGAAGTGATACACATAGATGGATCAAATAATTCTGCATAGGTTGTACCTGTTTATCTGCAGTATTCTCTTTTCTACATTATTATTATTATACAGTATTTATAAAGCACCGATAGTTCACTCAGTGCTGTACATTACAAAGGGGGACAGAACATGTAACAGAACAATAACAATACAATGCAAAACATGAGGGGATTGAGGGCCCTGCTCTTTCGAGCTTACAATCTAGGAGGGAGGGGATGGTGGCACAGGAGGAGATAGCTGTGGGGGATGGAGTGGTAAGAAGAGTGGAGGAGGTTGGCAAGTTAGCAGGGGGTGGGGTAGGCTTCCCTGAAGAGATGGGTTTTCAGGGTGCACCTAAAGGAGAGGAGAGTAGATGATAATCTGATGGGTTGGGGCAGGGAGTTCCAGAGGATGGGTGACACCCTGGAGAAGTCCTGGAGGTGGGCATGGGAGGAGGAGACCAGGGAACTAGAGAGAAGGAGGTCTTGTGAGGAGCGGAGTGTGCATGCTGGGCGGTACTTGGATATTAGGCAGTGATGTAGTTTGGGGCAGTATGGTGGCACAGGAGGAGATAGCTGTGGGGGATGGAGTGGTAGGAAGAGTGGAGGAGGTCAACATTCAGCTTGTCTGAGCTATCAAAAAACAGGGGGTGGAGGACTGAAGTGAAACACTGCAGAGCCAAGTGAGGAGAGCTCTAAGAGCTGATTGGAGGGAAGGGACACACACCCTTCACACAGCACACAGAAACAGAGCTGAGCTTACCAATCACAGGCTGTGTGCTGGAGATCCCTCCCTTGTCCCAATTTTTTCTTCTTGGTGTTAGGAAGACTTGGCAGAAGTGATTAATGAGAAACTACATAAAAACACTGCTAGTTACAGACTCCACCAGAATATTGTTTTTTTTTAATATGTATTCATTTTAGAAAATACAATACTTTGTAAAGGGGCGGTGGCCAGGGGCATACAATCGTTTCTTTCTTCAACATAGACATTTCTAAAAACAGAAAAAAGCATACCACACACCACAGGTCCCGAGTAGCAACCCCCAAAGGGGAGTACCCATCAATAAACAGATCGGTTGGTAACAATAGTGACTGTCTCCATAAAAATGCATACGCTCCATATGTAGAATTACAAAACTTGATCATTCACAGTCCTCTTTGAGGGGAACATGCTTTGTATCATGTATGTAGTGTCTGCCAGACAAAGGTACCATGGATAAAGGATATAATGGAATCCCATAGATATGTGCAATGGTGTAGTCCAGGGGAGGGTACTGTAAGCTGTAAAGGCCTCCCTCTTACACTAAGCTAGCAATCGGACATGTCATATTTGAGATGAAAATAGGCAGTCCCAGACAGGGGCGGACTGACCATTTGGAAACTCGGGCACTGCCCGAGGCCCGGGGTCAGTAGGGGGACACATGAGATGCCCCTGGTACCTTTTTCATAGGCTTTTTTGAGTTTGGGCAAGGACACAGGGGCCCCATGTTCCCTATTGTCCAGGTGCCCCATGAGTTGTCAGTCTGCCCCTGGTCCCAGACAATACATCAACATACACGTGTAGTCCAGAGGAGGATATTTATCTCCTTATCTCCTCCTCCCATGCTTGTATCCAAGACTTCTCCAGGGCGTCACCCATCCTCTGGAACTCCCTACTCCAATCTATCAGATTATCGCCTACTCTACTTGCCTTTCGGCATTCACTGAAAACCTTTCTCTTCAGGGAAGCCTATCCCGCCTTCTGCTAATTCTGGTATCCTCTACTCTTCCAACCACTCCATCCCCCACAGTGACTACCTACTGTACCACTCACCCCGCCCTCCTAGATTGTAAGCTCCCAGGATCAGGCCCTCCTAACCCTCTTGTATTGAACTGTATTGTTGCTGTATTGTCTCCCTTTATATTGTAAAGCGCTGAGCAAACTGTTGGCGCCATATAAATCCTGTATAATAATATTAATAATAATATGGTATCTGTGTGAAAATTATGGCTTCATCTCCCTCTGGTGCCTAATGTTGGGGCATCATCCAGGGGAGAACATGAACTAGAAAAACCTCCCTCATACATTGGATGGATAAAATTCTCGCTCGGTGCCCATCCACAGGGGGTTCTTTAATTTGTTTTGGTGATCTTGAGAGTAAAGCTTCTCCAAATGTGATGGAATAAAAGTATATGAATAGTATTTGGTAGTAGCCCATTCCTGACTGGTTTTGAAGGTACAACCGGGTAGGCTTTTTTTTTTTTAAATGCTTTCAAAGTATGTTTTTTTCTAATATGAATACATATAGAAAAAACAATATTCTGGTGGAGTCCATAACTAGCCGTGTTTTTATGTAGTCATTATGTTGGTGGCTAGGGACTCCGGGTTTACTTAACCACTTGCCCTCCTGAGGATTTCCCCCCCTTCCTGACCAGACCATATTTTGCGTTACAGCACTGCGTTATTTTAACTGACAATTGCGTGGTCATGCAATGCTGCACCCAAATTAAATGTATGTCCTTTTTTTCCCATGAATTGAGCTTTCTTTCAGTAAGAAAAAAAAACAGACAATTTTGAGGAAAAAAAAACAATATTTTGGACATTTTGCTATGAAACATGTCCAGTAAAAAAATTTTAAACATCAAATTTCGTCAAAAATTTAGGCCAAAATGTTTTCTGTCTTTTTTTTGTCTTTTGCGCAGCGGCGCAATCTGTCACCGTCCGTGTATCTCGGACACGGCCGATGACAGATCTGAGTACTGGCCCCCATTGCCGCTACCATGTGACCTGCTGTGACCAATCACAGCAGGTCACATGACAGTTGTATACAATGGATGGCTTCATTCATGCCTTCCATTGTATACTAGTGTCTAGCTGTGAATGGTCACAGCAGGTCACATGCACATGTCATGTGATTAGCTGTGGCCAAATCACAGCTTAGCACAAAAAAAAAAAAAAAAAAAAAAAAAAAAACTGAATGAATTGATTTCATTCAGATAAATGCTTGCTTATAGCAAAGTAATTCTTTGCTATAAGCAAAATGTGTAAAAAAAAAATACTGATCACTTTCCCAAAGTAGTACAATGTTAGTATGGTAACATTATACTACTTTGGTCATAGTGAAATATGAAAAAAAAATCTTTAAAAAAAAGAAAAAAGTAATAAAAAATTAACAATAATAAAAAAAAATATAAAGAATTAAAAAAAAATTATATATTTTTTTTTATGCTGTCACTAGTCAGTGTCCCTGATCACCGCCATGCCAGTTATATGATGATGCTGTACTGCACTGTTGACAGTATGTAAAAAAAAAATAGTGAAAATAATTTTTTTAATTTTTTATTTTCCCGAAAAATTATGAAAAAAAATACAACTTCAAAAAACTCGCCATGCCTCTTATGAAGTACGTCGGACTGTCCACTTTGCAAAAAGGGGTCATTTGGAGGATATCTGTATGTTCTGGGGGGATATCTGTACTGTTCTGACATTCTTGGACCTCAAGAAATTAGATTGGCTGTCAGTACTTCAGGATTGATCAATTTTCAGATCTATCCCATAGTTTGTGAACTCTATAACTTTCCTACAAACTAAAAAATACATCCTAAT